ACTTCTGAACATTTCAGACAGGCTTTTAAATTTTCCAGTAATTAAGAACCACAGGGAGAGAATCTTCCATGATTCACAAAGAGAACCTACTGCTATTTCATTCTGTGTGTGGTGCCTGAATACCCAGAGCCTCCCAGTGTGTTTCTTTGGGACCCTTAGACCCGGAGGCCGCAAACCGAGCTCCGTCCCTCCGATACTTGTGCCTCCTCTCCTCCTTCAGGCACCGGCACCTGCTTCTTGGCTTCTGCTCTTTGTTTCAGTGAGTGGCGCCTTACCCACCACGTTCTCTCGGCCAGCAGTCAAAGATCACGCCCCTCTTTCTCCCCTCCTCCTCCATCAAGCCCTCTGGCTTCTCCAGGGCCCATTTCTTTCCAGCCCAGCTGGCACGGCGGTACACAGGGGCCCTGGGTGTATGCCCACGGGATATCGGAGCACAGATATGCTCAGTCTCCCCCCACTGGGAAACCCTCAGTGTCTCCCCTTGACCTCGGCATAAAGGTCACATTTCGTAACATGACGAATAAGGCCCTTTGAGATTTGGCCCCTGCTTATCCACCCAGCTTTCAGCCCCTTGTCCGTCCATCTCCTTGCCTCATCTCCACCCCCAGCGCACTGAGTTGGGTGGGGTGAAAGGTGTATCTTGAACACTTTTGGATATTTGAGACATAGTATAAGGCCTGCTCCACAAGCATTTGGTGAATAAATAAACGTTCAGGCCTTCAGGGCCCTGTGGTCCTGTGCTCTCAGGGCAGATGGAGTCATCGGGGCACAGAGAGGTAGGTGACTTACGGGAGATGTTTCACCGTAGATGCAGGCCTGCAGTTTGGCATCAGCCCTTCTGACGGCTGGTCCTGTGTTCCCTCCCTCCCTTACCCCTCCCTCCTCCCCTCTCTCTGCTACTCCCGGGCTCTATGCTCAGGGCTTCCCCCTGCCCATCCCTCAGGAGGTCTGTACCTTTCAACTGCCCGATGGCCCTGTTGTGCCCAGTAGTGAAGACCGTGGCAGTGTTCCCCTCCCTAACAGGGAAGCATCCAGTTGTCGAGGTACCTAAGTACAGGACTGACCCAAGCCCTGTGTGCTGGGGTGGGTGCTGCCTGATACCTTAGAAGGGGGACTACTGATTCCTGGCCCTGGGGCCTGTGTCCGGCCCTCGTGGCGGGATCCACAGGGATGCAGTAGTAGGATTTACTGGTGTGTCGGACGTTGATCTTAACGTGCATGATGCTTACCCTCTCTTGTTACTTTCCTGACAGTCTCCCCCAAACCCCTCCCCCTTATTTATTTAGTCTGTTTCTGCCTGACCCTCTTAGTGGAATGGATGAGCCCTCTTACCAGCTTCACAGAGGAGCTATGTGTGTGCTTTTTACTGAGAAAAATTCATTTTTCATGGCCTTGTTTTTTAGCACTGTGTAAAATCACCCACATGTACAGCTGACTTCATTTTTAATGAAACACCCTAGTATTCCATCAGCTGTTTGACTTGGATTTACCAGGGTGATTATTTCTTGGAAAAGTCAGTAAAATGTATTAGAAATCTATGTGCTGAGGTTTAACAGCTCTATCACTGCCATCCTGTATTTATTACACAATTGCTAAACGTCAGCAAACATGCGTCTGATAGTCTGATGAATATGCAACGCCGGCTTAGCACACTGAAAGTAAATCTTCCAGTCATGATTTAAGGCAGAGCTCGAAAAGATTTGACAGGCTCCTATAAGTAACTGCTAACTTTAGCCAAATTAAAATGTTTATAACTGGGAAAAGTTTGTATCAAATGGCAAAGCTAAAAAAAAACTATGCTGTGATATCAAAGAAAAGGAGATGAGGCATTTTGGTGTTAAATGGCTCTTTTTTTTTTTCCCTGTGTGTAAAATATGGGTTTTTTAACCACAGATCAAAACTTGAGGTGAGATTTTAATTATTTTTAGTGAGTAGTTAAATGAATATAAATTTAAGTTGCATTCCTAATCTTTTTAAATCTGTAGTTTCCAAATGATAAAATGAATCATGAAGCATATATGAAAGTTTCTTTACTTCAAAGATAACTCCAATTGATTGAAGCTGATTGGTTTTTAAGTTTATATTATTACTGTTAAAATATAGGTAGTAAAAATCCTAATTCATTTATAATACAGTT